CAGCGAACATATGCTCACGTAAAAGCACGCGAACGCACGATATGATGATAGAGGTCACTATTCGTAGTTCGTCGGCCAAGCCGCAAACAGACTGAGCGGGCAATCGTGTTGATTGCACAAAAGGCCAGTCTGTTATCGATCAAGTGAAAAGGGTGACTGTTCTCACGCATCCTTTTTCTAGGTATTGTTCAGATTGTGTGACTACTCGGCTGAATTAAACACTTGAGAAGAAGACGGCTCGATCGCTGGGACAATACTTTTATTCGCGGCGAAATGATGCCAATTCCCAAGTTGCGGCTCATTCGGCGAGACCCGGCCACACATTCAAATTTTATGAGACCGAAATTCCCGCAAGAGGCGACAATCGTGTGAGCCCAGAATTATTTGAGCCATGGCACACGGGCCTCCTATCCATAAACAAGTGCAACGATTTGCCCAATCCATATTCGGTGCTAAGACTCAATTTGGCCAAAGCAAGTCACCACTTGGGGAACGCACAGGCCACCGCGTCGTCTTACGCCAACACCGAAGAGCCAGATGGCCGAGCAATCATCGCGCCCGAGTCCACCACGCGTGATGAAAGTTCAACACGTTAGAGCCCGCAAGTCGGTCAACAAGCTATCCACGCACAAGAGGACAATTATCAGTAATTTTCGTTATAAGTTTGCAGTAATGACTGGGCTTTATAAATACTGCAGACCCCTGTGCATATATTACCAGTTTCTGCTACCGTTTTCTGCTAATGTGTCTGATGGTGAATCCGCGACGGATGTCGAAACGTCAGGCGAAAAAAATATTGTCCCAGCGATAGAATCGTCTTCTTTCCAATTACTTCCTGAGACTCGCCTGTTCGCTTGTATTGGGAATTAAACAGTTTTAACTTCAATCTCCTCACACCTCTGAGAGGCTACCTCAGAAACTGCTTTGCAAATTTAAAAAAAGCCAGCAAAATTTAAGAAGCTCTAAGAACGAGTTGAATGATCAGGGGCGTTCCGTGATGTGCGGATTTGCAACAAAAGGACTGAAAGATGTCAAGAATTGAGGAAGTCAAACGGTTCGTTTCAGTATTACTCAAAGACAAGAGAGTTGGTGGCATCTAAGTAGGTCGAAAAAAAAATTCGAGAAGAAGAAGAAGAGCAGGGGCATTTTCTTCGATTCGATTCAGCCATAACAACGTTTCCGAGGACGCAGGCCGTAATAGTGTCGATGTGCTTAGGAAAA